CCGTGCAGCGCAGCAGCCAGTGGAGGGCGCTGAGAAGGGCTCGGCACAGCCCGATGCACTCCTCTGCTTTGCCATGACAGCTACCGGGAAAGGATGCACAATCTGTCTCTGCTCCAAAGGCTATGATTTGACCCATGCCTACGTGCCCGGAGCTTCTGGAGCTCCCCTACTACAGAACAGAGTCGGGGAGCCAGCACAGTCCTGGGAAGATACCTAGCCCCTTTGGCCTCCACTGGACAAAATTTCAAGGGAGCTACTCCAAACAGGGCAGAGGCATCTTGCTAAAGGAGTAAGTAGGAAAGCATGGGGATGGACAGGTGGGGAGAGGAAACGGAACCCAGAGAGGTGTTCTCAGTCTGTGTGCTAGGAGCTTCTCTTCAGCACAGAGATACTTCTTGCACACTGTGAGCCCCTCACCCCTGCCCTTACCTTAGCCGGTCACAAAACATGTCCATGATGTCCAGCAAAGCCTGGACACACAGGTCCCGGGAAAAGTCATCAAACTGTGGAGAGAACAGTGGAGATGCTACGGAATGCCCCAGGGGCCCCCAAGTGTCACACGTGAGGCAGGTGGGAGTCGGGACTCCTGCTCCCCTTTCCTCCAACTGTGGGTTTCAGACTCAGCATCCTTTCCACACTGGGAATTGGCTCTTCATAGCCTGCCCTGCCTCGCAGGGCCTCCTCCCCTCTCAGCCCGTGCTGCCCATCCAGTTGCCATGTCACAAGAACAAAGCAGGCAAGGAGGTGGGGCCTGGCCCAGAACCAGCAGATCTGTCCCCAAACCCCACCTGGCTCGTAAGTGGCTACAGTCGTACCTTACTGATAGCTGTCAGGACAGAGGAGTAGGACACCATCTGGAAGGAAGGAAGACAGACGACACTCAGACAACCTGTCTCCCACAGCTGAGAGGAACGAACGCTGATGCGTAAAGTTGCCTCAGGTCTCCTGAAACCTTCATCCTCTGGGTTCCTCAGTCATATACATTCAAGTGTTCAAAAGCCACATGTGGTAGTGGCTACTGGAGTGACCAAAACATTTCTATTGTCGTAGAAAGTACTATTAGACCATCCTGTTCCAGAGATTCCGCAGGTCATTAAGAAGTGTTACACATATACAGTGTACTCTGGATGGAAAATCTCATTTTGTATGCTGTAATGATGTACAGTGAAATTCATTTAAAATAAATAAATTTAAATTTTAAAAAAGTGTTACACGTGTGCATACATATGCACACACACATGCGGATGCATGCACACACAGCTTTTGCGTGATATAAAAGTTGCAAAATGCAGGGAACCAGCAGTTAGCGTAATGGCTATGTCGCTGGACTCCCACGTAGTCAACCGCGGTTCGTGTCCCGGACCCGGTGGCTTAAAACTCACGCCGGGCGTGTGTGCGTGCGTGCCCAAGATCCCGAGAGGAGAATGGAGGAGAAGGGATTGCGGCGTGACCATCCCCCCTGGGGGGTGATTTCTCGCTTTCTGTCTCTATGTCTCTCTCTGTCTGTCTGGCGAGCGCACGCACCCTACAGTGAAAATCTCTCCAAAAAAAAAAAAAAATGTTGCAAAATGCAAGATAAAATACATAAAGCTTTTTTTTAAAGATTATTTTTTATTTAACTTTATTTTTTTGTATTTTTTTTAATTTGAATTTGACCAGAGAGGGACAGAGTGAGAGAGAGAAAGGGAAAGTGAGAAAGCAAGCCACCAGGTCCATGACTCGAACCGTGGTTCAGCCATGTGGGAATCCAGCGCCCTTAACCACCACGCCACCTGCCAGCCCCAACATAAAGCTTTTTTTTTTAAAAAAAATGTGCTATAGGGTGGTTATGTTCTCTGGAAAGAGACAGAGACAGACAGAAAGAGAGGGAGAGAGAGAAAGTGAGAAAGGACCTGAAGGATAGCCAAGCCTCATTCGCTTCTCCTTAATTTTCCTCTCTGGAGTTTGGGCATGTATGCACACATAAGTGCCATGTTTTCCAAGCCACCAGGTCCAGGACTCAAACCATGCAGTCATTTATGTGGGATCCAGCCACCTTAACCTCCACATCACCTGCTAGCCCCAAGAAAACTTTTTTTTTATTTTAGAGGTTTTTGATATAGGGCACGTGTGCTCGCCATAAAGACAGAGAAACAGAGAGACAGAAAGCGAGAAATCACCCCCCGGGGGGGGGGATGGCCACACCTCAATCCCTTCTCTTTCATTCTCCTCTCAGGATCTTGGGCACGCACACACACGTGACCGGTGTGAGTTTAAGCCACCAGGTCCAGGACTCAAACCACAATCGACTACCTAGGAGTCCAGCAACACAGCCATTACGCCAACTGCTGGTGCCAAGAAAACTTTTTTTTTATTGTAAGACTTCTCCAAATTATAACTGGTAGACAATAAGAATCTCTAAGATGATTGAAGATAAATAAGCAATACTCATCAAATTGATATGATCGGGGAATCTTATTTAACTAGTATTACCAAAATACATTTTTTGAGAAAATCTACCTGAAAAGTAGATCCCTAAGGACAGAGATAGCATTGCATTTATATCTATTTCCTGCGTACCTAGGCCAGGCCCAGAGACATAGACCCTCAGGAGGTTTTTATTCCTTCAGTTAGGTAAATCGTTTTTAAAGAATTATTTTATTTTACTTTATTTATTTATTAATCTATTTCAATATGAAATAATCTATTTCAATATGACCAGAGAGGGACAGAGTGAGTGACAGAGTGACAGAAAGTGAGAAAGCAAGCCACCAGGTCCAGGACTCGAACTATGGTTGGCCATGTGGGAGCCCAGCACCCCCAACCACCATGCCACCTGCCGGACCCCAATTAGGTAAATTAACTTTAAGATTTTTTTAAAGAATTACTTATTATATTTATTTGATTTGTTATGATTATTTTAATTCACCAGAGATCACCAGAGAGAGGGAAAGTGAGTCACCAGGTCCAGGACTAGAACCGTGGTCAGCCATGTGGGAGTCTAATACTTTAACCACCCTGCCACTTGCTGGCCCCCAGTTAGCTAAATTCTTTTTATTATTATTATCATTTATACATTCAATCGTTATACATCAGTTTGTAAAGAGATTTTACCCAACATGATGTTAAATTCTAACTAGACGTATTCTGAAAAAAATGTAACTTGAAATGAATGTCTGCTAGTAAAAGCTATTCATCCACCATCAACATCAGGGATCTAGTGCACAGATGGTGACACAGTGGTAAAACAGCTGAACCCACATGGAAAGGTCCTGAGTAGCCTGGGATCTATCTCCCTGCGTATATCAGATGCCTGACCATATGCCTGTGATCTGGGTTAGCTGAGAATGGGATGGATCGTGGCATGAAGACGCTGATTTTTGTTTTCTTTTGTTTTAAAGAATTATTTAATTCCATTTTATTTATTTATTTATTTATTTATTTATTTATTTATTTATTTATTTATTTATTTATTTATTTATTTATTTATTTATTTATTTATTTATTTATTTATTTATTTATTTATTTATTTATTTATTTATTTATTTATTTATTTATTTATTTATTTATTTATTTATTTATTTATTTATTTATTTATTTATTTATTTAATTATTATTATTATTATTTTATTTGACCAGACAGAGAGAAAGAGAACGGGAAAACGAGAAAACAAGCTGCCAGGTCCCAGACTCCAACTGCAGTCAGTGAAGTGGGAATCCAGCATCTTTTTTTTTTAATTTAACTTTATTATTATATCATTATTATTTTCCAATTTGATCAGAGAGACACAGAGAAAGAGAGAGGAAGTGAGAAAGCAAGCCACCACCTCTGAGACTTGAACTGTGGTCGGCCATGTGGGAGTCCAGCGCCTTTAACCACCATGTCACCTGCCAGTTGTGGTGAGGGGGAGGGTTGTTTTTAATTTGCCAGAGAACACATGTGTTTTCCAGACAGAAAGACAGAGAAAGGAAGGGAATGAGAGAAAGCATCTCCCCCAAAGGAGCCTGGTCTTGCTATAATCCCTTTTCCACTTCTCCACTCTGTCAGGATTTAGGACATGCACACACATATACCCAGCATGTTTTTCAAGCCTCCAGAGGCAAGATTCTAATCTCACATTCAGTCATGTGGGATGCTCCCTTAACCACCAGGCCATGGAGTTGGCCTGGAGGACCCTGTTGAAAGTGACTGTCTCTCTCTCTTTCTCATGGAAGAAATAAATTTAAAAAAATAAAATAAAAAATAAAAAAGATTAGGGATCTAGTTCAAAAGAAATAATTTGGGGCCAACAGATGGTATAGTGGTTACAGTGCTGGACTCCCACATGGCTCACCACTGTTCGAGTCTCAGACCTGGTGGCTTTGAAATTCATACTGGGTACGTGTGCGCTGTGCCCAAGATCCTAGGAAGTCAAATCGAAGCAGAAGAGACTGTGGTGTGGCCATTACCTTTCGGGGGGTGATTTCATACTTTCCCTCTCACTGTCTCTGTCTTTCTCTCTGGTGAGTGCATGCACCTTGAGGCAAAAAACATTTTTTAAAGATTTATTTATTTAATTCCATTTGTTTTTTTTTAAAGAATTATTTTATTTAACTTTATTTATTTATTTATTTTGATAGAGAGGGACAGAATGAGAAAGAGAGAGGGAAAGTGAGAAAGCAAGCCACCAGGTCTGGGACTCAAATTGTAGTCAGTCATGTAGGAGTCCAGTGCACTTAACCACCATACCATCTGCTGGCCTCGTTATTATTATTTTGTAATTTGACCAGAGGGAGAGAAAGGAAAAGCGAGAAAGCAAGCTGCCAGACCCAGGATTCAAACCGTGGTCAGCCATGTGGGAATCCAGTGCCCTTATCCACTACACCATCTGCCAGCCCCCATGGCAAAAATCTTTAAAAGAAAAATTAAAAAGAAAGAATTTGTTCCAAATAAATTAAATCCTATGGAAAATCTTTAAGTTGTTTTATTTATTTTTTTAAGAGTTAATGGGGGGAATAGCAGGTGGCATGATGGTTAAGGCACTGGACACTCCCACATGGCCAACCATAGTTCGAGTCCCAGACCTGGCAGCTTGCTTTCTTACTTTCCCTCTCTCTCTGTCTCTCTCTGGTAAAATTAAAAATAAATGAATGAATGAGTAAACTTTAATAAATAATTTTAAAAGACCTATTAAAAAAAAGAAAAGAATTAATGGGGACAGCACATGGTACGGTGGTTAAAGCACTGGACTCCCACATGGCCAACTGTGGTTTGAGTTCCAGGTCTGGTGGCTTGTTTTCTCTCTCTCTGGTCAAATTGAAGAATAACAATAATAAATTAAATTAAATAATAACTCTTTTAAAAATATATTAAAAAATAAAATAAAACAATTATTTACTCAGAACCAGCAGATGGCATAATGGTTATGTCACTGGACTTCCACATAGTTGACCAGTTTGAGTCCTGGATCTGGTGGCTTAAAACTCATTCTAGGCGTATGTGCATGCGTGCCCAAGATCCTAAAAGAAGAATGGAAGAGAAGGGACTATAGCGAGGCCATCACTCTTGGAGGATGATTTCACGCTTTGTGTCTCTCTGTGTAGCTCCAGTGAATGCACACACTTTATAGCAAAAATCTCTCTTAAAAAAAAAAAAAAAACTATTAAAAAAATAAAGAAAAAATAATTATTTATTGGCTTGAGAAGATGGTGTAATGGTTACATCACTGGACTCCCACATAATTAACTGCAGTTCGAGTCCCAGACTCAATGGCTTAAAACAGGCTGGTTGCATGTGCATGCATGCCCAAAATCCCAAGAAGAGAATGTAGGAGAAGGGACAGCCTGGCCATACCCTCTAGGGGGTGATTTCTCACTCTCTGTCTCTGTCTTTCCA